TGGCCTAAACAACAGCTGGCAATTTTCTTACTTTCCTGGAGTCTTTAAGCCCTCGAACAAGGCCTTTCTGCGTGGCTCACAGTTGGCCAGCATCATTGCCCAGGCACCGTAAATTCAAAGGAAGTGAGCCTCGACGGCCTGGGGAAACAGCGCACATACTTAGGCGACTGTGTTCTAGCTCGCCCATGCCGGATTTCCCTTCATCTGCAATAACTCTAAGACACAAGTTTATTTTTTGTTCTATCATAGAAGAATAGAAACTGACTATTGGACTAGTAATTGCTATGTTTTATTCTGATTTTACTGATGCTGGCATTTGAAAAAGTGTACTGGATTGACGAAAGATAATATATCCAGTTTTCTGGGTCTTGGCAGCAAGGCCCACCTGAGAGGGAGCAGGTTGGGGAATCTGGCTGGGGCCTAAGATTCTGCTGCTATTCCATATCAGGTTGAGCAGGCGAGAAGACTGGTAAAGGGTTAGGCTTTACTGAGGATAATCACCAGCAGAACTATCCACATCCGCGGCCGGGAAAGACATCAAAAACCACTGCTGATGCCCCACCTGAGTTTTAGTGGGTGTGTGAAATGAACCTATGGCTTGTTTGGGTTCTTGTTTCAGAGCTACTACTCACTGGCCAAGGGGTTGAAAAGTGAAAGGCTTTCATGTATGAAGAGGGCTTTGCACACACACATGGGAGGAGGGAGTGGATTGGGGGGGTCCCGGAGCCTGGCCTTAGCTCCTCCTTCCCTGGCTAGGGACTAGGCCATTTCTCATGTATTAAGTGGTGGAATTTATTTACCCATTCAGCAAATGTGAACTGAGGACATCCCACAGCTGGGAGCAGTGTGCTGGGGTACAGGGATAGAGGCGCCTCTGTTATAAGAAAGCTCTGCCCGTTGTGGGGCGAAGGCGGCCGTACGCCTGGCAGCATTTCCTCCTCTCGTTCTATCGTCACTGAAGTAGATAAAAAGGTTTGTTTTTCTTTTTTCTTTTGAGGTCTGGCCGTGTAGCACAGACTGGCCTCGCAATCTTCCTCTCTCAGCCTCCTGGCTGCAGGCATTTTCATTCATATTTGCGGCACGGCACACAGTCACCGAGAGGGAACAAGTGCTGCTTGCTCCAGTGTGAGCCGAGCCGTGTCCAGACTTCCTCTACTTGACTTCAAGCCAGCTCTCGTTCTTCTCTGTCTTAAGTGGCCTGTCACAAGTTTGCTTTCAATATAATGTTGTTGTTGTTTTTTTATAATTTTGTGCCCAAAATAGCCAACGAATATCACATTCTAGTCATCCCCAGTAGGTTTTCCTCTGTCATTAGTCAAATAAGATGAACCTGTTCTGCTGGGGGCATTCAGGGAGCTTTGCTTGACTATGCTGGCTTCCTGTTAAAGAGGCAGGGGACACCAGGTTTCAGAAGACTGAACCACACCCTGTCACAAAAGCTCCCTGACTATAGTTATGGGAGAGTTCATGGTGTGACCTGCCCCGTTACTTCCCTTTTGCCTGGCCGCTTCTCCTCCCTAGTAGCACTTAGTGCAGTTCCGTGTTTCACATTGGTAAATACGGCGTAAAATGCAGTCACACGATGGCTCCATCAACCTTGCAGCATCTTGGTTACAGACAGGATGAAAGGGCAGCTGAAAACACAAGAGGCCAGTCTCCGGCCTGACAGAGACCAAACGTGGATTGTCTGGGCTCTGTTGGAATGTTTCTGTGGGTAAGCAGGTCATCTTGCCCTCCAGCTCTGGCTAGAAAAAGACATTTCACTGGAAGAGCAGGCTCGTAAGGAAGAGCAGATTCGTAATGTTGCAGTTTGCTGAGGAAGCTTTCAGGCCCAGGTCATTTGGAACACCAGGTGGAAAGGTGTTGGATCCGAGTCCTGGCGCTTGGGAGCCTGTCCTGTCCTTGGCCTCAGTTGACTGGACAGAACCTTCAAATGCGTCAGATCAATTTCCAGGACGATGTTTGCCCCAACCTGGCCACTTAAATTAAATGCTATGTAATTAAATGTAATCCCAGCTAAGAGCATATTATGTGCAGGGCACCCTACTTGCAGGCAAGCCATTTCACCTTCGTGTTCCTCAGTTTCCTCATCTATGAAGTAAAGCCCTCTAGGTGCAGCTTCTCTTGGGATGGTAAACGAGGAGAGAGAAGTCAAATGCTTTGTGGACCATGAAGTGATTTATCCTCTGAGGGGCATCGCTAAGCTGGCTGTCCTGTCTGTGAGGTCCATGCTACCTGGAGCCACCAAAGCACTGGCCACCATATTTGTTTACCTGAGGCTCTGTCTCTGCAGCCTTCCCAAGGATGGATGTGTGGACTTTATATTTTGTCTCTGGGACTGGCATATTGTTTAACAGAGCTTTCAAATGTCAGAGTTTGGTTGGGAGAATATAATAAACAGAATGATTTATAAATAATAGAAAAAATTTTGTGCTGAGGATAGAATCTAGGGCTTTATGCGTACTTCGTGTGTACTTGAGACAGTCCATGAATGATAAAAAATGGTTTCTCAGTTTTGGAGGCTGCTAAGTCCAAGAACAAGGTACAAGGTCATTAAATACCTGTTGATACACTATGCATTATTACATCAGCTTTCCATGGTCGTAAACAATATCGGCTATAAGTTCTTATGAAGAGAGATTATGACAGAGGTTTTGTAGTCAGGGAGATAGCCTAGTGGTGGGGTGTTTGCCTAGCATGTGTGATGCCCTGGGTTCAATCCTCAATAGTAAAGTTTCTTTAGACTGGATGTGGTGGTACAGTTGTATAATCCTGGCACACAGGATGCTAAGGCAGGGAGATTGTCACTTGGAGGCAAGCCGAGGCTTATATTGAATTAGAGGTCAACTTGGGCTACATAGCAAGCTCTTGTCTCAAAGTTTCCTTACTGTGGGGCTTGTGGTGAGGGTGCTTTATCACGGGAGGAGTACATGTCAGAGCGGAGAGTCATACCCCGAGTCAGGAAGGAAGAGAAGATAAATGGGGTGGTGGTTTCAATAAAAACGGTTCCCATAGGTTCTCAGAGACACTATTAGGAGGCATGGCCTTGTTGGAGGAAGACAGTGGGCTTTGAGGTTTCAGATGCTCAAGCCAGGCTTAGTGTCTCTCTGTCTCTTCCTGCTGCCTGCGGATCCAGATGTTGAACTCTCGGCTCCCTCTCCGGCACCATATCTGCCTGCATGCTACCATGCTTCCTACTATGATGATCGTGAACTAAACCTCTTAATTGTAAGCCAGCCCCAATTAAATGTCTTCCTTTATAAGAGTTGCCATGGTCACGATGTCTCTTCACAGCAACAGAAACGCTAACTAAGACAGACAGACAGACTTATAGAGAGAGATAGACCCACGGTTATTTTCAGTGAGCTAAGGACCTCCCACCACTCAGCTCCATCCTGGGAAGCTAGCCTTTAATTCATGGACCTTTGGGGGATTCATCATCCAAGGTGTAGCTAACTGCTCATCCCCTGCTCACACAGGGCCATGTTTTCTCTGTGCTCTCAGGTGGTAGGAAGGGCAAGAGCATCCTCTACAGTCGCCTTTATAAGGCAGAGTGTGTGTGTGTTGGGGGGCGGGGAACTCACATAACAGAGAGCCGGGTTTGGAGAACTCTAGGCTACCCAGCTAACCGGAAAATGGTAGCAGAGGCTTAGAAGAGCCCTGGGAACTGAGGGCAGGGGCGAAGGTCAGATTTGCAAGGTTCAGACCCACTGCCCATGAGACTGGCAGACAGCACCACTTTCAGAGCTGTTTGGTCACCTTGGTTCGGGTGGGACCCGGGAGCTATGGGTGCGCAGTGATCCTCTGGGCTCCGACTCTGTCACCAGGCTACCTGCGCCTGCTCGGCCCGTGCTACACTGACCCAGAGGTTCTGAAGGAGACTGAGGGCACCCAGCTGGCTGGGCAGATGGAGCTGTTAGAGGTCTCCCTCTGATAGGCCCGTTATTAAGGTTTTTGTTTCGCTCTGGGAAATGATTATGTGGCTTCGTGTCCCTGCCAACCACTGCCACCAGTCCCGAGCCCCTGGACGCCTAGGCAGACACAGATGGTCAGTGTGGACTGCAGTCCAGGGAAGGAGGGGTGGCGCTCCGGCCACGAGCTGACCTTGGCTAACCCCCACCCCCTTCACAGAGCCTGTTGGGAATAATTCATGAAAGGAAGCTGACACTAGGTAAATTCTAATAAATGCTGCGATTCAGGCCACACAGTGACTAATAAAATATTATGGGGATGGCCGAATCTGGGCCGCACTGAGGGTGTCAGGTGACAGAATGGTACCTCAGGAGGCAGCCGCTGCTGTCCTTCACTGGGGGCAGGCCTCACGCAGTGGTCATCCCGGTGCATCCCATCGGCACCCCTTCTGACCATGTGCTGCATCTAAGGGAACAGAGAGCCTACAGGGCTGCCGCCTCAGCAGCGGTAGCGCTCAGCTGACTACGGGTGAGCTCCCTCTGGGGGTGAGGGGCTCAGAACAGCCCATCCCTGCTCCTGCCCTACTCCCACATCCTTGGAGATGGCACCGCCCACACTGCTCGGGCTCCTCCTCTCTCACCTTCGCCGCCGCTGGCTGACCTCACCTGTGAGCCTGTCCCCATCATTCCACCCCCCTGCCCCCCGCAGCGGCCATGTGGGAGGTGCACCCGCCCTCAGCACACTTCTGCCGACCCTTAGTGCACGCCTGTCAATTCCATCAAGGGCTAACCCACTTTCCATCATCCGTAAGGCTACGCCACATTCCCGCGGCAGGGGCACAGCTGATTTCCAGGCTGGTTAGCTAAGTGCCTACTGAGAGACAACAGCATTGGCTGAGCTGTGTTCCAGGACCAGCTGGAAATCCTACCAACTCCTTTAAGGCACTTGGGGCAGGGGTGTTAACCCAGTGAGGAAACAAATCAGAGGAACTCAGTCAGGGCCAGGGATCTAACAGTAAGCAATGGAGCCAATTCCAGCCTGGGTCCATCTTATTTAAGACCTGTCCCCCTTTGGAAGCAGACACAAAGTAACTGTCATGTATCGTTTATTCTCACATTTGTTATTCGTGTGCTCCTCACAACAGTCCTGTGAGGTAGGTAGGGTTATGTGGTACTCTACGCCCATTTCGCGGATGAAGAAATGGAGGTGGCTCAGTGAGGTGAGTGACCTGCAGAGTCACACAGAGTGTTAGTGGCTTCACAGGCTCTGCACTTGCTCTAAGGTCAAGCTGTTGAATTAGGAAGCACCAAACAGATGAAGAAAAAAAGGGGGGGCAGTGTTGATTTCGGAGGGTTTTCCCCCCCTTGACTTATTTGACTATGATCACAGCTTCTGTTGTCCGGATTGTGCTCTCTGAAGAACTTTCTCGAGGACCACTGGTGCAGTGGCTCCACAGCCACTGGGAGACTCCTGGCTCCCGCAGGCTCCCACCAGCTCCCGCTGAAGGCAGGGAAAGGCCTTTCTTGCCTCAGGACCAGGTTTTGCCTATAACTATGAAGGCTCCTCAGGCACAGGTGTAACCATGGAAACCCTTTGCTCCGTCCACCCCTGGATCCTGTTCCAGGCTTCCCTGGCTGTGTCTGGCGCGTGTCTCCAGCGGGGAAGATTCCGGGACTCGAAGCTATAGTCACTTCAGGGATGACTCACAATGTGCGGCTCCCGTTGAGGAGTAGCAGCCTAGCGTTTCTTGCCCTTAATGTGTCCCCGGGACGCCCATAGGTAGTTATGACGGGGAAGGCTGCTTTCTTAGGAGGAGTGGTAAGGGCTGGACACTCACTCCAGGGCACTCTGGTGGTACAGAGCTGTACTCCTTGCCGAACACTGTGTTCCAAAACCCCAGATCTCCCCAGTCAGCGGTGATCAGGAGCATGCTTAGCCATGCTGGTGGGGAAGGCTGATGACCTGGGGGCCATAAACAAGGATAGACAGGAGCTAATTTTGCTAATGATAAACTGCAAAGGGAAGCTGAGTTCTGGGTAATGGTACCGTCAAAGTGTCTAGTCAAAGCAAGGACGCACATCCGTGCGAAGAGGAAGACCTAGCAGGACAGACTGTCAACGCTGAAAGGACTTCCTGATAACCAGCTCAACCTTGGGAGGAGCTGCCCTGGGGAGTGAGCTTTCTGTCACCAGGTGTATGCAAGCTGGCACACGTGATCCCTTGCAGGTACTCAAGGAGAGGCACTCGTCCCCAGACGTACTGGGGTGTCCTAGAGAAGGGGAAGAACTAAAAGCTTCTGGATTATTTTCCAACCCTGAGAGTCCAGAATATATTGGTTTAACTGACTGTTGAGTGACTCTTCCAATTCATGGGAAAAGGGCTAGGGAAGTCAAGACATGGGCAGGATCGTGACGGGTCTTTCATCATCCTGACTCCAATACTATCACATCTTTGCAGGGAAAGCGCCCAGTTTCTGAAGCCAAGGACCCTTCATCCATCCTCTTTAGGAGGGCCGTTCCCTCCTGCTGGAGCCTGGACACACGTCCTCTAGGCCACAGCCCAGCTCAACTTTCTCCCTGAGTGGAATCACAAAGGGTTCCAGGAACATACGGCATTCCGCACCACCCAAACAAGGAGCAGGTGTGACGGGATTCGCCGCACAAGTTACGTCCTAGGAAACGCAAAGGAGCCCCTGGTTCCCACCCTCCCCATCAGCAGCCAGGGCTCTCTCTGGAGATGGGGAAGCGAGGCACCAACTGGGGTATTGAGCACACTGCTCCTCCTTTGTCCTGGCCAGAGGGTCGTCCTGTGGGCGCCTCCTGTGTGCATCAGCTGACTTTTCACTTGTCATAGTAAAGATCAACATGGCAAGAAAAGGTGGTTTCGTTTGGAGGACACGTGGATTCCCGAAGGTGGACTTCATCATGCGGAATCAAGCCCTGCTATGCAATTAATACAGATTAGTGTAGGTCCCCTGCCTCGTGCCTGGTGAGACACTCCTCAAAGCCAGGCCGACTCCTCCCCCGTGTGGTGTGGTGGTGGGGGACTTTCTACCTGTACCGTATCAACCTGATGATCTTATTGTTCATGAAGTCCAGAGCGTGCGGGTGGGAAGAGTCGATGCAGAATCCATCGCTCAGGGCGATTTTCAGCACCTCCTCCACGAAGACCTGGAAGCTGTTGATCTGCTTGTTGGCGGGCACCACCCACAGCCTTTTGAGGTTCTGCTTGGTGTACTCTTCCTCCGGGAGGCCCTCCACATTGGCCACCCAGTCCAGAGTGAGGTGGTTGGGGTCCTGCAAGTGGCTGGTGATGGAGGAGAGGTTGCCGTTGGAGCAGTAGAAGAGCTTGGAGCCCAGGAGCTTGAGGAAGAGGCAGGAGGTGCTGAAGATGTTGGCGTTGAACACCTCCATGCTGGAGGAGGACAGGCTGTAGATCTGCGGCGCCTCCCGCACGGTGAAGTGGACCGTCTGCACGCGCTGCTTCAGGGTGATGTTGAGCATGGCATTCTTCTCGGCCTTGGAGAGCTCCACCTCCTTCTCCTGCAGGGCCTCGATCAGGGGCTGCACCTGGTAGAAGTCGGCTTCCCTGCGGAGCAGGCCCATCTCCTGGAAGTCCTCCGGCAGGTCCAGGTGGGAGGTCCGCAGGAAGTTGAGGATATAGCGGAACACTTTGCCATCGCGGTCGATGAAGCAGTTGCCCTGGCTGTCCTTCTTGGTGGGTATCTTCCCGCTGAACATGGCGCCCAGCATGGAGTCTGGGAAGCTGGTCAAGGTGGCCAGGGAGGTGGTGTAGAGCTTTCCTCCGACATTCAGTGTAATGGGGTCAGACATGGTAGGAGGCCAGGTGCCTGGAAACAGTTCTGGGTGTGTAAAATGAAAAATTCTAAATTAGTAAATTAAAATAAAAATTAAATTATGATCTAACCATATCTGCGTAGTCACACTCCTTAACTCCTAATTACAGGTCAAGCCTCCACTGAGGGTGAAATGTATTGATGCCTGATGCATGGCTGATAACTGCTGCACATTAGACTCACAAGGGAAGAATAACGCACACATGTGCACACACACACACACTCTGACACCCGTGTCCTAGAACGCATAACAAGTTTTGGAAAAGCCTCCTTGGTGATTTCAGAAGTTCAGTAAGGCTACAGAGTCACTGGTCTGTGGACGAAAGGAACACATGTCTGGGCTAAGAGCTCCCTGAATTATTTTATAAATATTAATTTGCATACATAACAGGCCTATCATCTTTGGACAAAGACGGTGTCATCATTCGTCCCTGTGGACAAGGGCATCTGGGCCAGGACTTATTCCTGGCTTAGAGAAGTGAACGCTTTGGCAAGATTCAAATTCAAGGTCCTTTCTTTGTGAAAGAAAAATTTGTAAATGATTCAAGGTCATTCTGTGAGGCCCTTAACCGATGCTTTGTGACTGGGCTCAGTATTCTCACGTATCGGCGCTGATCTGAAATGAACTATTTTCCTCTTCCAGTTTACAAATAATTGTAACTGGTGCCATCTCCACCTGTCTGCAGAGCTACTCTGGACCACTGGCTTCCCCTCCCCCACGTCCAGCCACTCCGCCATGGAGATGCTCTTCTCGGTCCTTAGCCTGAAGCTGACTGCAGAGCTGCACTGGTCTCCGCACTCCTTTATTAAAACACCCTTGGTCAGAGATGGCTCAGCAGACAGAGCATTCACTGCTCTTGCCAAGGACCAGGGTTCAATTCTCAGCACCCACACGACTGCTAACAACTAACTGTAACTCCTATTCCAGAGGTTCTGACACCCTCCTCTGGCCCACAAGGGCACTGTGTGCATGTGGTGCACAGGCAGACATGGCAGGCAGAATATTCATACATATCAAATAAAAATAAGTAAAATGTTTTTGAAAGACGATAAAAACACCCTCACTGCCTCCCAGCCTCCAGCATCTAGGGCATTGGCCTCCTCTAACTGGAAGTCCTGGATCTAACACTTTTTTAAGGTTCTTGAGAGCATGAGCTACACCCACTCGGCTTCTACAGGAAACAGAATGGAATCAGCAGTGACATCCTGACAGTGGAGGTGGGGACACTGAGAGAAATAAGCCTCAGTATTGCCCTACAGAAGAACCTATGCTGGTGGGAGCGTGGGGGAGGGCAGACCACAGGCAGGGAAGGTGTGCTGGACAGATTCATGAAGAGCTGGGAGAGACGAATCCGGGCACGAGAAACATCCTGCTAAGCATACAGGTCCACGGGGGTGGGGCCAGTGGAGGCAGCACCCTTCTCCATTGGGACCCCCTTTCTCTCCAGGGATGGGGCCAGGGTGGACAAAGATGCCCAGCTGCTTTGCCCATCAGTCTAATGGGGGCATTTTGATACTGCAGACAAGCATTCGCCATCTGGAGTGTCTGAAGAGGAACCAGCCCATGATGAAGTTACAAAACTCTTGGCAGAAACATGGAGCAGATGGGCTGTGAGACATTGGGGAGATCCAATAGAGCTGGGTGGCAAGCAGCCGCAGAAGTGGTGCGGGAGAATTATCTGTATTCTGTCAATCATGTATTTTAATAAAACGCTGATTGGCCAGGCAGGAAGTATAGGCAGGTCAACCAGACAGGAAGTAGAGGCGGAGTAATAAGAATAGGATAAGGCTAGGGAGGAGAGAAGTTCCTCAGCCACTCCTGCGCAGATCACTGAAGAAGCAACATGTAAGCTGCCCCCGCTGGAAAAGGTACTGAGCCATTATGGCTAACATAGATGAGAATAATGGGTTAACATAAGTTATAAGGACTAACAAGAAGCCTGACCTAATGAGCCAATCAGTTTATAACCTGATGTAGATTCCGTGTGATTTTCCTTGGGACTTGCTGGCTTGTTGGGGTACTGGGCGGGACAGAAACCCCAACAAGCCGGCCCCTCATGTTACATATGGCGCCCAGACGTGGATAACTGAATCCACAG